ACAATAAAGATATCCAGTGACTCATCGAAAAATGGGATTGGGGCTCTTATTACAGATTGATGGAGAAGATTGGAGGCCAGTTGTGTGTGTGTGTCAAGAACAATGACACACACACAAGCACAAATCAGTGCTTAGGACTAGTGTATGGATTTCAGATATTATATGGCTACCAAAGTTCATGGCAGAGAAAGATCATAAGCCATTAATAGCCATTATTAGGAGGAACCTCATTGAGGTGTCACTGTGAATTCAAAGACTAATGATGAAGGTACAATGATGTTTCTGACCTAATATACGCACCAGACAAGCACACTGTGCTCGCTGACACTCTGTCTAGGCCGACAATACACAGTGAAGAACATGGTGAAAATTCCACAGAAACTGATGTGAAACTCCACATGAACCTGATCACCAAATCACTACCAGTGTCTGACATCAAATCAGCAGAAACAAAGCCAGATGTAGGGTTAGAGAGAGTCATCAAGCATCTGAATGAGGGTTGGCCTAGAGGTGAATGACAACAGTATAACAACATGAAAGGAAAGCTCTGAAAGAGTGTCGCCAATGAGCTTCTACAGAATCATCGTTCATTAGTTGTTGAGACCAGAGATGCTGAGAAGATTGCATGAAGGAGACCTAGGTAGGGAAAAATGCTAGAGGAGGGCTAGAATAGCTGTTTATTGGCCAAGAATCAATGCTGACATTGACAGGATGGTCCAAAGCTGTGAGATCTGTCTGAAACAGTAAGCAAAACAGCCAAAAGAACCTATGACAATCACAGACCTACCCAATGAACCATGGCAAAAAGTTGGAACAGACTTGTTTCACTGGGATGGAAAGAATTACCTGGCAATTGACTATTTAATTCCAGAACTTCACCAAAAGGAATGACTTTCAATATGTGACTTCAAGTCCTCTGTATTCCTAGTTAAACAGTAAAGAGAAAGGAGTACACATAGTCAAACAGCTGTTCAAGAAAGCACAAGACAATGGCTCAAATCCATATCTGACTCTTTTGAGTTTCCGAACTACACCACTGGCATGGTCTCCTGCAGAGCTTCTAATGGGACGTAAGCTACACTCCATGATTCCCTACACTACAAAATGAAATTAAAACACACTGAAACAAAGAAAAGTGTCCACAATACATAAACATAAAGCAAACTATGACAAGTCAACAAGAAAATTAGTGCCACTGGCAAGACCTGACACGATGAGAATACAACATTTGGGACAAGAAAGTCACTGTTCTGGAGGAAGTAAATCTGAGATCCTACAAGGGCAGAATGGAGGAAGAATTGAAGGAGCTTGCTGAAAACACAAGAGACGCTCAAAGAACAGACACTTGAAAATTCAAATAAAGATCCACCTTGCAGTACATCAGCTGAACCACCATCACTGCCAGATGACAGAAGAACAGCTGAGCTGACTCCCTTACCTGTGCTGAGAAGGTCTATTCGCAGTGTCAAAGCACCTGACAGGCTGAATCTTAAGAGACATGAATGGAAAAAAATTCATATGTTGGTCCTACTGTATCTGCCTAGAAGCTAAGGTTCACTGTTGTCTGTAAATGATCTAGTTAATGCTAGCTAGAATAAAAACTAGCAAACTAAATTATTAAATTTAGTTAATAATAGCTAGCTAAACGAGATTTTAATTTTTTTTTATTTTAGTACTTACTTTTTTAATACATGTATGATCAGCAAGCAGCAGAGCTGGAAAAAGCTGCACTTCTAGTATTGTTTCTTTAGCTGATCTTTTTTTCCCCCAAGTTATGACATCACAACAACATGATTGGTCAGTTGCAATTATGGTCCTGATGCAACGATAATTATGATACTGTAGAAACAGCACCAACACTATTGTGTATACCACACTGCCATAATAGGGGAAACCATACAGCCAGAATAAGAGATACCATACAGTCAGAATAGGTGATACCATAGAGCTGCAATAGGCGATATGATATGCATGATCTGATATTTCAGTATCGCTTATTCTGGCTGTATGGTTTCCCCTATTATGGCAGTGTGGTATCGCCGATTGTGGCTACATGGTATCACCTATTGTGGCTATATGGTACCACCTGTTTAGTGGCTTGTTTATGGAGAGGAAGTCTACAGTCTATAGAGCAAGGTTTCTCAACCCAGTCCTCGGGGACCACCAGACGGTCCACGTTTTTGCTCTCTCCCAATTGGCAGGGAATTGGGAGAGAGCAAAAACATGGACCGTCTGGTGGTCCCCGAGGACCGGGTTGAGAAACCCTGCTATAGAGGGACCCAGCTGAAGCAGCTCACAGCACAAAGAGCAAGACTCAGACCTGGAACCAGGCTATTCCATTCAGCAGCAGACAAGAAAGAGTCTGCCAGCATGGCTGGGATACAGACACACAGGAATCCATATTAATCACTCAGAGCCATGGAAAAGATTTCAAGATGCTTAAATAAATTTAGATAAGATCAGGGCCATTTGCTACGAGACAAATGTCACCTAGTTTTATTTGATTCTTCATCACCATATTTAGCACTAGAGGCAGTGGCGTAACTATAGCAGGTTCAGCAGGTGCGGTCGCACCGGGGCCCATGATCTCTGGGGGCCCGTGATCTCTGGGGGCCCGTCACTACCTCAGACCCGCCTCCTTAAAAAAAAAAAAAACCTCAGCATTAAAATCCAACCATCAAATAAAAACAGCTAAATAAAGTTATCATCTTTCATTGTCGGCAAACTGTCATGTCAGAGTATATTTGTTTCTACTGAGATACAGCAAGGGTTTCTGGGAAGGCTAAATGTTTTATTGTGATTTTTTGAATGGATAGCTGCACATTGCAATCATCGTGCTGACCAAAACAAGTAGCATGCCCTTCAAACCCAAGAGCAGCTGCAAGAAGCGCCAGGAACGTAGAGAGCTAGAGGAAAGGGTGGCAAAACTCCCGAAATTAGACCAATTTGGATTTTTAACCAAGAGTGGTCGTGAGGAGGACAGGACACGTAGCAGCAGTAACTGTGAACTGTCATGCAACAGGTAAGCTCTGGACCAGAAGCTAGCCTAACATATAACACAGAACATGTTTGATTTAGACTAGGGCTGGGAATTTAGCTCATTAATTAGATTAATTAATCACAGAAAAAGTATGGATTAAACAGCAGGAGATCCGAGTCCCAGATCGCTGCTGCGTGAGCCAGAGCGCAGTTCGGTTCAGTGAGATTTGGAAGAAAAAAACGCCAAAATGGCTAATAAATGATGTCTTATTAATGTTTTTTGCCGATTATGACGATATTTTCCTTTTGGAAAAGACGCTCGCGCGTCTCCCGGTTCAACTTTGGAGCACAGCTGAGCGGCCATGCAAGGCGAAAGTGGTCACGAAGCACAAGCACACGTTTATTTCAACACTTTGCCCATCGGGAAAGTGTGTGGCATTGGTGAACCTGGTCATAGTGTCTGTAGGAGAGCTGTTGGTCGACCTAGAGGCAGCAGGAGAGGGAAAATTGGCCTGGAATAGCCGCATTAGCTTTATCCATCCAGATCTCCAGAGGGGCGGCGCTGTGGCCGGAGTGTGTGTGTGTGTGTGAGAGAGAGAGAGCTGGGAGACGTAATGTATCAACATTTACAACTGTCATATACTGTAACCTAATTCATAGGTTTGGTTCAGTCAGTGATAAAAATGCCATGACCATTGTACCCTAAGTTATAGGCTTGTATTCAATAATTAATGGTAAAAAAACTGCTTCTTGTAACGTCTGTATGTATGTGCGATTAAATGCGATTAATTAGATTAATTTCACAGAAGTCATCAATTCTGCAACTTGCCAAAATGCTAGTGGTAGATTATGACAGCGTAACATCCACATTCGGGGAAGTGTGTACTGCTCTCATGTTGTTTCTGACATTGCCTGTGACTGTGGCAACAGCTGAGCGATCATTTTCCAAGCTCAAACTTATTAAGACCAACCTAAGGAGCAGCATGGGGCAGGAGAGGCTCAGTGGGTTAGCTATCCTGTCCATTGAAAACACGAGAGCCAGAGCATTAAATATTAGGGACATTGTTGATGATTTTGCACAACGTAAGGCTCGTAAGATGGCCTTCTAGTGGCCTAATTCACGCATATTGGGGGTTGTATGCATATGAATCATTTTCTTTTTTCTTTTTTTTCTGCACAGTTAAATAAGTTGGATTAAGTTTTGTTTCTGGGCAGTGCGAGTTTAAGCAAGCTTTCTACGCTTGAAGTTTCAGTGTTGAGTGTTTCAGTGCTTTGAGTGTTCCCATATTTCCATGCGAGTTGATGTTAATGCGGTTATATTAGATTACCCTGTAAATTGGTATTAATAACAAACTTTTTTAAAATGTTTTCACATGTAATGGATCCTATGTAGTACAGTATTTTTGTATTTAGAATTAGTAATTCTATATAAACTACCTCTGTGCTTCTGGTTCTTTGCAGAGAGGATTGTAGTCACCCTTAATGTACGTGTATTGCATGTATCAGAGCTAAAACATCCTCGGGATAAATTTGAAAAAGTATAAGGGCCCGGATTGAATTTTCGCACCATGACTATGTTGTTACGCCACTGACTAGAGGAGTGATTTGGTAAATATCACTTCCAGCCTAATTAGCATCCAAGTCTCAATGGAGAAAAATTATTAGTATGTAATTCATATTTCACAGAAATATTCTCATAAAATACTGATATACAGGACAGTGCAGAGACACAGATAAAATACCCTGAGTAAAGATATTTTTCTGAGAAGTCTCCAACCAAAACTGATGGTAACTAAGGATGGTTGCCTTTTATAAATTGATCCTTTTATTGTGTGATCTGTTGAACCGAATTCACAGTACTTGAGGATTGCTGAAAATGTTCAGTAAGGAAGATGCAGAGATTAGGTTCCCATAGAAACTCTTTCACTGCTCAAAGCTCTATTCAATCAGCCCCTTGGTATTGTGCTTTCAGCACCATGTCCTGATTGCTACTCCCCTGCAATGAACATCCAATCACCAACCTGCCCTTGTGGCGGGTAGCCCCTGTCTGCTTGGTAGAGGAGGCCTTTGACTTGGGGGTAAGCACATCTGCGTTCTCCGAGGGAGTCATCTCCTTGACAGGCAGGGGTGGGGGGGGGGGCTCCTGAATCACCGTGATGTCATCCTTGTTGTGCTGACCCAAGTGCAGCTTGGCGAAGTCAAAGCCTTTAACAGTTGGAGGCTGAAGCTGCTTGTGAAGGTTAGGTGGGTGGGGGAGGACATAAGAAAAAAGAAAAAAATGTTAGGCAGGAACAGGGCCGGGCAGAATGGGAGGACAGGGGAGGAAGAGAGAAAGAGAGAGAAGGAAATGTGAGAACAAAGAGAGAAAGAGTGAGCACATCCCTCCAGCCAAGGTGGACAGGTGCTGTAGTGCCGGAGTGAGCCAGGCCGCTCTCCAGTTATCTCGGGGACAGCCAGCCAACAGCCGGCTCCCAACATTCCGTGGCAGGCCTCATTCAGGCGGCCATTAAAAAGTCATGAGAGCGGCTGTCCGTTATGAGGCTTGAAGAGCTGGATGGACCACTGCATTTACCATGAGAGTACTGTGATAGACAGTCCTCAAGGACTAGGAATACCAAGACCCCCTCTCTGCCTCCCGAATCAGGCTTCCTCCTGCCCTCCCCCTCCACATGCTAAACAAGTCCCATCTTTAGAAAGCCACTACACAGGCTATATGGAGGCCCCCTGGTAGTTAGCTGGGGTCAGCTTAGGAGGCTAATGGGCAACTGTAGCACAGCACACAGCCTTACCTTAAATCAGCACTTATTAGATCACTCATGCTACTGAGCTCCTGAATTCAGGAATTCATTTTACCTCTAATGAAGGGCTTTATGAAGTCAGCCCTCCAAAGCTCAGCCAACAAAATTAGCATTTTGGGGGCAAGCAGACAAAATGCATGGAAAACCTACTACCAGAACAAGGATCTCCCCATGGATTTCTAGAGGATCTTCCAGTTAAAACTGGATGACACACTGAAGCAGTGCTCTTCTCACTACCTCTCACTACCTTCTCTCTTTGTGCTTGCCTGCTCCTCTCAGCAACAAAAGGTGGTCGTGAAGTGGCAGCAAGCTGAAGAGCGGAAAGAGAAGAGCAGAACAGGGAAGGCCCATTCGAGGAGCTGGAGTGAAAACATGCAGATGGAACCAAGGACCCGCTGACTAGAGCATTGTGACCTAAAGTAAAGCGGCCCATTGGGGATAAACGATGGGCAGGGCAACACTGCTACTAATAGAAAAAGAGAAGCAGTGTGAGCAAGTCAATTCTGGCATGAGCCAACAGCCAGTGGCACAATATGCCGTGACCACACAGAGATGAAAAGTGGGGCAATTGGAGAGGAGGCAGGTTAGCGGCAGCTGTTGTTAGCCTAAGCACTAAAACATCAGCAAGGTCAGTTTGTGAGGACCCAGCAGTCCCACTGATCTGAAAGCCGTCTGAACGCATTTTGGATACTGGGCTGGAAACCGGGTCAGACCTGCACAATTACTTATTAATCTCAAGCCAGAAACATGGGAGAGATCCACCCCAATGTCAAGGACAAACGGTGTGTTACAGCTGGCACATCACCATGGCATATCCCAGAGCAGTGTCACAATCAGGGAATCTTAAGCAAAATAATGCAATGGAGCACACTGGCTATAATACAACTTTATTTGCAAGGCACGCCCTCCTGACTGACATCACTGGGTCAAAAAGGAAAAGAATGCCTCCTTCAACAACAGCTATGGAAGAAATTACATGCTTATTGATCCAACATTAAATGAATATATGTATAGACCTGCAGAGCTGCACATTATGTGGATGTTATGACACACTCTGTCCTGCAGAGGGTGCACACCCACCTCCTTCATCTTCTGCCTCTGCTGGATGGTGCTCATGGCGTCAGGCTGGAACTCCAGCTTGTCAGAGCGGCACAGCTTCCAGTAGAGGATGGCCACGATGCCCACAGCCAGCACCACGGGGGCCACCACACCCACGATGATCCATGTGTTGTTGGTGTGCGTCTCTGAGGGTGGGACAGTCAGCTTCTCCACCGCTGTAGAATAAAAGGGCATCTGGTTGCACCATGCCAAAACGACTCAGGTTCTGCTTTCGTTCTGGGACCAAACCTCTAAATATGGCATTAAAGCTACTTCATGTTCCCTTCTGATAAGGGAGCAAACATTTGCCATAGGATTCAACAAGCTCAGTATGAAATACCAAGAAAAAATAAATGATTCAGACACATATATACACACAGACATATACAGTATATACTCACGCTGTGCTAGCGTCCCCTGCACCCGGTAGCCCAGGACGATGGCGGCCCTCTGGACATCCACCCGGTTCAATAGACTGGAAGTGGCCACAGCTGGCAGCCTCTCCCCAGTAGGACCCTCCACAAAATACACCATCTCCAGGGGGTAGTCTGAGCCCTCCAGCCTGGAAGTCTTCACAATCTGTGGGAGTGGGGGGGGTGCCGGGATAAGCAATGATCCAGGCCTAATCACATGTGACCTGTCACATGGGACAAACTATACATGGACATGAACAAGGCACAGAAACAGAGGAACAGCGAAAGCATCAGGCACAGGGTCCATTCAGCACACAGTACAAACACACTAAATAGTGTGTCAAACACAGAAGTCATGATGTCACCACAGCAGCCTACAGGCACTGATGCTGCTTTCAGAACTGACACCTGTATCTACTGAGCCACTGACAGCCTTCCACTGCCAGACTCAGTTGTACCCATGTCTCACAAGTAGACCTTTTGGAGCCTAGATTGTACGTTCCCTGACTCGGTTTATTAACTTCTTTGTATAAACTGATTAAAAATAACAAACATGTATTGACTGATTACAGGTAACACACCTCTACTGACTGATTAGAAGTCACCCACATATACTGCAGGATTACATGTAATACACCTGTACAGACTGCTACAGGTGACACATTTGAACAGGCCGCTTACAGGGAACATACCTGTACTAACTGATTACAGGTAACATACCGGTACTAAGTGATTACAGATAACACTCCTTTACTGACCAATTACAGGTGACATACTAATACAGGGGAGTATAGGAAACACCGACTACTTATGGATGACACATTTGTCCAGGCAGATTACTGGTGACATACACTCACCTAAAGGATTATTAGGAACACCATACTAATACGGTGTTTGACCCCCTTTCGCCTTCAGAACTGCCTTAATTCTACGTGGCATTGATTCAACAAGGTGCTGAAAGCATTCTTTAGAAATGTTGGCCCATATTGATAGGATAGCATCTTGCAGTTGATGGAGATTTGTGGGATGCACATCCAGGGCATGAAGCTCCCGTTC